GACTCGCTCCTAAAGTTTTTAAGACACATATTACTAATATGGGTATTGTGGAAACATTTGATGTTTCCACAATAATGGGAGTTATTTATGTAAGAGATCTACATTTTGGGCTTGATCCCTTCATGGAACACGTAAGCAACCCATATGTTCTTCGAGTATAGCCCCTTTCAATACTAAAATATATCTTCCCCTATCTATAAATTATTTTGAGCATGCATTTGACTTATATCTTTTATTATGATATTATTTTGATATCGAGATATGACAGTTAAAGACATAAGATGAGTCTCTCTTAGAGACATGTGGCTTCATTTTGATTAGAAGCAATTTGAGGACCGATATACATTAGCACAGTTTTTTTATCACATTTGGTGCTAAGTTCATACTGCACACTACCATATTGGTTGGAGGATGGTGATCCATATAGATAAGGATGTTGGCATTTGTAGCTGTGGAGTGGTCTTACATCGTTTGATTGGTGTAACTACGTCTATGTTTGATGTTAACATTCTTGTTGAATCGGATCATATTGTGTAAGGTGTTATCGTTGCAGCTATACTCGTGTGACCACCTATGTACTCTGACCCGGAGGTTAAAAGATTTTTCTATAGCAATCAAATGTTTGCCCAAGTGACAAAATGTTAAAATAATTCTATTATGTGGGCTTCCACTTTATTGCGGATTTTACGGGTTAGATGTATGATTTGCAATGATACTGTGAGTATGCCCAATATGTTAGTGATCAGTTGGGCCGTTGTACACCTTACGTGCTATATTATTATAAGGGAAAATTACACAAATTAGGTGTTTAAAAAGTTGATTTTCAAAAATAAGATGTAAAGTTTATTTATTCGAAACTCAGGTATCAATATAATAATTAAATGATAAATATCTTCACCCAATAATTCCAAACCCTAATCATTTTTCCTTATATTTTCTCTCTCCATCTTTTTCTTTCTCTATCTATATTCTCTCCTTTCTTTCTATCACAAATAATCGGTAATTCATTGCCGGTCGGAGATCGCCGCCGACGAACACTCTCAGGTATGGAGAAGCTGTAATGAAGAGGAGATCGGAGATCGCTGCGTGAGGCTCTGTACAGATCGACCGCGGTGGTGGTTATCCATACCTAATCGAAAGTGGTGGTTGCGGGTTTGTGCACCGTCGTCACCAGCTGTAATGAAGAGGAGATCAAAGCGTCCGGTGATTAGGTGCTGCGGTGGTGAGATCTGCTTGCGGTAATGGTGGGTTTGACGCTCAAAACTCTACCACCACCTTCTTGTCTCCGTCTCGGTGATGGTGGGTTCGATGGTGTGTGTGCAGTCGTGGAGTGGAGTGGAGTTGTGGTGGTGGTTTGGTGGTGTTTGGGAGTTTTTAAGTATTTTTTGTTGGTTGTGCAGGTAGATGGTATTGGTGGATATGGCGGATCGACGACGATTTTGGTGAGGTTGTGGGGGTGGTGCATTGTTGGGTGTGTTTGGTGGG